GAAGTTCCTCTTTTCAATTATGGCAGATGGTGTTCTTCTGATTCAAAAGTAAATTCATACTTTCTATCTGCGACGCAAATAGTTTCACACTTTTATATTGCGAATGGAAATCGTTTCTTTCTACCGCGACATCAGTACTTTAAGCATTAAATAGCATAGACCGCAACTGTACAGTTTTTCCGATTTTGGAGACAATTGGATACGCTACAATTTAAAGGGAGACGGTATATACGTGTGAACATAAATACAAATATATATACACACATATGTATATGTGGATATGTATCTATATGTGTATTTTTAATAGAATGTGTGTGTATATATATATATATATAGAGAGAGAGAGAGAGAGAGAGAGTCTCACAGCCTATTTTCATTCCCGAGCCGCAGATCGCAGCTTTTGTCGTTCCCTTTTCATCGCACCGCAAATTCAGGTCAGCCTCGGTCGTTGCTTTTACAGCAGTGTACATCTCACCCCCTACGGCCTCTTTAACCCTTCTGCTATTCGACTACCACGTCGCGGGTTTCGCGTTCGTTGCACTCCAGACGCAGTTAGCGCATCGTAGTTGACTGGAAGCGCACCAACTAATTTACGCACAATAAAATAACTATATCGATAAAGTCGAATAAAGTACTTGGTATTTAGGTATGTGATTTAAATTTACGAAAGACCAAATTGTGGAGCAAATTGACAAGAGATGAATTATAGTTCCAAGTATATTTTGTTTATCTACATAATGTGTGCAACTTTATTTCTCAATTTATGAATTAAATTTTAATAAATATATGCACAAAAATATTTATAATATATTTATTTACTATATTTACAAATATTTATTTTAAGAGATTACTTTATAATTCAAAATTTGAGTTAATTTTTAATAATATGTAATTCTTTTTTAAGAAGCACATAAAATCTGATTAAATTTCTCTTTTTGTACTTATGCTGATCGGTTATTTCGTTGCTTATTTTATACCGTAAACAGTTGTCATGTACATTTTAATATATTAAATAAAAGAAAATTAACTGCTATAAATAATTTTATTCGTAATTGAAAATTTTATTTGTGTTTGAAGATGGAAATAAATCATAGTACGCTCGTCATAACTTCGTGCCAGTACGCGTTACTTTCGTACCATAAACACTTAAATAGCTGTCATAGCGGGAATTGTATATTTTGATTGTATAGTTTAATAAATGTTATGAATTTATTGTGCGAGCAATGAGAATTATATATATACCTATACACAATTATATATATTCTTTGTAAGAATATTTATTTGCGTTGCTCACCTCTTCTATATGAAATATGTTTGTGTTTGCAAGCAAAATTAGGTATCAAAATCTTAAATTTTTATAAGTAATAATCAAAATGTAATGTACATTACAAATTTAAATCCAAATTAAGAATAAAATCATAAAGGACTCCGCACCAATCTTAAAGATTTTGGCTCTCGGTGAAATTGTCTAAAAATTTAGTATGTTGTTCTCCTTACTGTCCTGAACAAATGTCTCAATGGGCACAAAGTCCAAAAATGCCTAGGGACCGAATCATAGAGCGCTAATGAAAATGCGTTTATTCGCTCGATGATAAGATTGTAACATATTCACATGTGTGTGTGTGAGACCGGGAATCGATTCAACCAACTAAGGGCAAAGCTGACACAAACGTTATTACATGTATAATAATATTGTCACGCTCGCGCCAGGCGTAATCGGGGTTTAAAGAAACTTTTGTTTAATAAAACACAGACACAAGGTGCATTGATATACAAGGAACACGTTCGCGAGGCGTGACGTACTCGTAAGACGAGACACCATTGAGTAATCTGACTAGTTAGAGGAGATCAATTTCCCTATCTTAGACCGAGAAGAAAATTGTCTTTTCACTATTTCCACACATACTCTAATGCTCATATAATGATATTTATTTAATGATGATGAACAATCTTACCGATTATCGAGCGAATAGACGCATTTTCATACTTTAGCGCTCCATGATTTGGTTGTTAGACATTTTTGGACTTTGTGCCCATTGAGACATTTGTTCAAGACAGTAAGGAGAACAACATACTAAATTTTTAAACAATTTCACCGAGAGCCAAAATCCATAAAGTTGGTGCGGGGTCCTTTATATAATGATTGATATAATCTATACATAGTATCTACGTACGTACAGCTAAAAATATAATTTGTTAAGCAGTAAGAGTAATATCAACTATTATATATGTAAACAGTGAAAATTAACCGAATAATTAGCTTGATTAAATATAATTATTTTAAGCGCACAGAAAACAAATTTCTCAGTGTTAATATTTAACTTTAATCGTTTATAATTCGATATTACTGTGATCTATATAGTTGTGTGTAGAATTTGCAAATTTAGTTAAGTCACAATTATATAAGACTGTATAAGATATTTAATTTGATTATTCCAATTTCTCGAGTATTTTCTTTTCATGTAGCAATCACATTTATAACATATCTTTATTATAATATTATATAAAAATACAAAAGACTAAAATGTTTATTTCTAAAAATTTCTGCAAAAGTTAATGAAATTAATACAATATTTGTATTTATTGATAATATTGTAGTATAGTTATATACATTATGTTTTAATATTGATAAAATTGATTATATACACAGGGAATGGAAGTAACTCGTTACTTGTAACGAAGTTACAGTTACAAGTTACTTTTTTGGTAACTTTACTGGTAACTGCGTTACTTTCTTTTTTTGGTAACTGTAACTGTAACGAGTTACTTTTAAAAAGCGATAACTGTAATTGTAACTAGTTACATTTTTTACTCGGTAACGAGTAACTGTAACTAGTTACTTTTAAAAAGCGATAACTGTAATTGTAACTAGTTACATTTTTTACTCGGTAACGAGTAACTGTAACTAGTTACTTTTAAAAAGCGATAACTGTAATTGTAACTAGTTACATTTTTTACTCGGTAACGAGTAACTGTAACTAGTTACTTTTAAAAAGCGATAACTGTAATTGTAACTAGTTACATTTTTTACTCGGTAACGAGTAACTGTAACTAGTTACTTTTAAAAAGCGATAACTGTAATTGTAACTAGTTACATTTTTTACTCGGTAACGAGTAACTGTAACTAGTTACTTTTAAAAAGCGATAACTGTAATTGTAACTAGTTACATTTTTTACTCGGTAACGAGTAACTGTAACTAGTTACTTTTAAAAAGCGATAACTGTAATTGTAACTAGTTACATTTTTTACTCGGTAACGAGTAACTGTAACTAGTTACTTTTAAAAAGCGATAACTGTAATTGTAACTAGTTACATTTTTTACTCGGTAACGAGTAACTGTAACTAGTTACTTTTAAAAAGTAACTTTCCATTCCCTGTATATACATATACATAAATTAATAAAAATGACGTGGGCTTTGTTGTATTTTAGTTTAATAAAACAATGGAAAATTATTAAAATTCTTAAGCAAATGTTTCAGTTATTAACTCTGAAATATTTTAGTATTGACGTTTCCAATCTTGTTAGATTCGTGAGAATTTTCAGTGAAGATATTCAACGATGATTGTCATGTGACTGATCGTATCTTTGTTACTTCGTGGTTATTATCAATTATTATTCCTATACTCTACGCACGACATTCAATTTTACGAGTCATTAGACACAAAGTTCTCCAAGCGCATATTCTGTCTTCGCAATTTCCGCTTTAACGCTTCTTGAAATGTCGAAGAAAAGCGATCGATTATACAATAAAAGACAAAGCCCAAGCGGATTACTAATTATGACAATGGCTCTTTTGAAATATATAAGCTATTACAGAGAGAGTTCTGATAAATCATTTATTTAAAAATTCTTTAATTTAATATCTAAATTTTGCTTATAAAAACGTCCAATCAGAATTTAATCTTCCATCATTTGTCTCAAGTTTTCAATTATCAAAATTCAGTATTTTTTTTAATTAAAATTTTACCCTTTGTTTGAACTTGACTTGAGTTCTTTATTTTTAATTGTTTATAATTTTAAAATTTATAATCCTTTCTTTCTCCCTTTCTGTTAAAAAAAAGGTCCACTTTAAATTTATTGTAGAACAGATTTCGTAAATAAAAGAACGCTCTTTTTCTCTTAATCTTTTTTCAATTTTCCAAAAGGGTAAGTCAATCGCCTAATTAAAATAATAAAGAGCTTATTAATCGTTGGGCGTTAAGACAACTTGAAATTTACGAAAAATTTTAATTTTTTGAAATTTCATCAAATTCAATCAATTAATTACGGTGCTCTAGAGTTATTATGCATGCCGCACTCATACAGAGGCAGTTGGACACAGACGCAAACGCATACACTGAGACCGTGACACAGCAGTCTCGTTGTGCATAATTCCTCCCGTCGCCGGTATTGTTTACCAACTGAAAGGTAGAATTGTTATAATAAATTAATTGGCACTGTTGGTGCAGGTTATTGCCGTAACTCGGCTCGTTACAACGCGACGTATTGTCGTCGCGCTCGCAATTACGGGACTTACGCCGTGGAACTTGTCATCCTTACGTATGAATTAGCATATCGTTATCTTCACTGGGTATTGTAATTAATTTAATTCGCGTGATCTCCAGATTTAGCGAACTTCAAGTAGGATAATCGCGGATTTCACTCCGACGTACAAAAATATTTTCTGATTATAATTTCTTTTAATTAGAAACGAAAAAAATAATTTCTTTCGTTGTTTCTTAGCGTTATTTAGCACCGATATATTTCGTTATTATTTATTATTTTTGAACTCAACAGAATATTACGTTTATTTTTAATTCTGCATTGCAGAGAAACAATTTATTATGCTTATAAGTATATACCTAAGAAGTTTCTCAAGTAGATTTGCACGTAAAAGCGAAATTTCTTTCTTATATAAGCATAGACTGAACAAGTTTGTTGCTTTGATGTTATTGAGGCATCAAGTTTATGAGTCAAGCGGTGCAAAGAAAGAATTAGGTAAGTGTTGCAGAGACTTACCGTAGACAATTGCCTCAGGGGCGTCTGGGCGAGAAGAGAGCTTCTATTGGACGGTTTCCTGTAAAAAAAAATCATATATTTTATCGTATCATTATTTTATTACAATTATATTGTTTAAGTAGAATTTTTTTGTATTCTTTTTAAAACATTTTATTATTATAAAAAAATTAACATAGATAAATATTTCTTAAAGTCATACTTCTTACGATTTTGATTTTTAATGATTAATTACTTTTCTTGCCATTCTACACACAATATAAATAATAATTATAAATTTAAATTATTATATTTATTATGTATGTAATATGTATAATAACTTGTCGGAAATGTTTATTAAATGAAGAAAAACCTGCAAAAGCCAGTTATTCTTGTGTAAATTATTGTTTAATTGAGTACAATAATTAAAGTTTACATAATTATCTCATGTAAAGACTCGTTTCAGCTTTGATTTAGATGCTCTCAATCTGTAATCAACTCCCGAATCGTCAACATGAGATTTGTCATTGACTCGATTTAATTCTCCATGAGTCCTTTCGGACTTATTTTTATTGCACAATGACATTATTAATTTTTTAATTACTTTACTGACTTATGAATAAAGAATTAATGAATTAAACAAATATTTCACTTTATCAAGTATTTATATCAAGCACTGAAGAAGATTCAAATCAGTGTTGAAACGTCTGCATAATTATATAAACTTTAATTTTTGTAAACATAATAATTTATGCACAAATAACTGTGTTGGCTTATATGGACTTTCTCTATTTAATATTATTATTTCAAGAGCCTTTTACCTGATTTTAATTTTGCTTGAACGAAATATTGATGTATGAAAGTCGCGTCTTTGAGCCTTCTTGAAGCATTTTATGATTAAATATTTACAAAAAAAATAATAACAACGATACTAAATATACAATAAGTCTTTTTATTCAGTATTTAAAAATTGGTAAAAGAGCTTAGATGTCATAAATTTGACATCCAAAGAATAAATGCATTAACTTCACACAATTCAAATCTATACTTTCTTAAAAATATCATGATATTTAAATCTCCAGAATATTATTTACCATTCTTAAAAACACTTTTTTAACATGCAAAATTTTAAACGTTTTTTTATTTCTCTCTTTCTACATATATTTCCTTCAATTTAAACATATATATAAAATATTTCAATATGTTAGCAGAAGTGATAAAATTATAAAAATTTGATTTAAAAGTCAAATAATTTGAGCAAAAATTTAATGTATAACTAAAAAAGTTAGAATAAAAAAGTAATAAATTATAAGAAGTGTTTCTCTCTCTCTCTCTCTCTCTCTCTCTCTCTCTCTCTCTCTACTCTCTCTCTCTCTCTCTTTCGTGTTAAATGTAATTATTATAAATATGAAAAACATTTATATTAAAACAAATTCATATAAAAATTAACTAGTTTTTCCTAAAATTATATATTTTCTAGATTAGTTGTGATATTATGATATAAGAATAAATTATCAACGTCAAATTTTGCTAAAATATAATCTCATTCACCCGTATTTTTAAGTTTAAATTAATAAGTTTTTTACTTTTTGTTGTAATTTATAATCACAGAAAAAAATGAGTTTTACAATACTGTTTAAATTTAACGCAATAAACATTAAAAATTTAAACTTTCTTTTTTTTATTCTCACATAAATTACTTTTATTCTAGTTGAGAAAAAACTTCTTCAATTCACATTAACAATGTACAAGTGACAAGTACAAATGTGAAATAAATGGAAAATGAGATTGTCATCCATATACAAGTAATGTAAGCCTTGAGGAAGTACAAATACATTCACCTACACCTTTGATGCGACGGTCGAAGTGTTAATAAAGTGGTAAACCGTAAAGGGATGCATCATACATGGGGCTAATGGCCGGTAAAACTGCGACAGTAATACTGCACGAACATCGCAGAGTTGGCCGGCGTGTTCTCGATGAAGCATAAATCATAACACGACGTCCGCGAAAACCATTGCCGGGGCGGTTTTGTGTCAATTATTCTTATTGCGCCCGAGTTGTCACTTAAGAGCTGTTATTAAACTTTTCCTTCATCCCTCGTTATCTTAACACATTCTTCACATTTTTTGTTGTCCAACAGTAAATATTAACTATCAACAATAAAAGTTGATTCAAATCATGTAAAGGATTATACATTTGTTTCAAGATTTCAATGTTTCAAGATACAGCAATGAGTTATTATGTGAAATTTCAATTTTAATGATATATTTTCGCGAGCACGAAAAGAATTTTTCGTGCATAATTTAAAAAGTAAATAGTTAAAATGTATGAGAAATTGAACCATAGAAAATGCTTAGGGCAACTTTTATGAATGCATATCTGGAGAAACAGCAAAGTATAAATTTAAAAAAAATTACATACACTTTTTAAAATTGAATTAAATAATATTGAAATAATATAGTAACAAATATAGTATAATAAGAAGGTAGACAAGATTTTCGAATATTTACATTAAACATATATAATTAAAATGTTTGTAATATATTACCCTATATTAGTTGTTAAATATATAATTAAATTAAAATATCACTATATATAAATGCAAAAAAGTTAACATTAAAAAATTGCAGCTAATGTTCGACTGTTATATAATGTATTAGTCGCATTATCAAGCACAATTAGCTAGAATTCTACTCAATAAGATTGTCGGCAAGAAAAAGAACTAAATTGAGATAATATCACAAATCAACAATCAAATCACAAGAACATTTTATATTCATAACATATACACATGTTCAGTAATATATCTAGCATGTAAACCAGGTAACACGTAGGGTCGATATTTTTCATTTGCTCTTATATCACCGTCAAAGATATATTCCACGAAGAAACAACGAGCTTGAACGTTTCTCTCAAATACACAGATTTGCGCGCAGATACGCCAAGACGCAACAAGATATAAAAGTATACAAAGAACAAGAGATAAGTATAAGGTGTTTATCTTAAAAGTTTTCGAGCAGCGTTATCTTCAATAATTTTCTACAGAAAAAAACGATTCCATTGTTTTATAAAAGGAGAAAAGTTCCAAAGAAAAGAGGAAAGTAATCGTTAATTATAAAAAATAAAGCATAATAATGAACTTTTGTCCACGATACGTTCTTGTATCATGTACAAGCATATAAGGAAATATTATAATAAAGACTGTAATGTATAAAACCTTTCTTATCCTGCAATACCTACCTACTGACATTATAACAGAAGTTACAACATTTTTATTCAAAGACATTATGTTTTACATTTTACAAAAGAATGATTGTAGGTTTCCGAATATTATAATTTACAGCTTGGAACAAATAAATTTCATTCAAAAAATTTTATAACTTTCATGCAGTTAACTTTAGATAAATTATATGTTTCATTATATTTCTAATAAAAATTATATTATCACAGTATAATAAGTTTTTAAAAATAATGTGTATGCGAAATTGTTGTCAGTCTTTAAATACCCACAAATTAAAATACATACTTATGTATTTTTTACAATACACATTATAGTTAAAAATTTTGATATAAATCATAACGTTAATATGATGATAAAAATATATATATACGTATTATAATTTTAACCTATTATAATTTTCTTAATAGTAAATACCATAACATCATTATATTCCTACAAAATGTAAATATGTAAAAAATATAATTTTTATGTGATCGATTATACAACATTTTTTCCATGTACGACAGTACGTCGAAAGAGTTAAATGTAGTTAAACCGTGTCGCGCTGTCACAATGACTGATATGGAACAATTCGAATGGGTTTACGGATACGTCCACGTGCCACAGAACGTGGTCACTGACATAAAACTCATTGGAAAATCTCTCGTCACGTATCCCGTTACGGCCCGTTATTGAAGAACTAAAACCGTAAAGGATCTCCAGTATTCCTTTGACCTGGTGGATTTATAAAGAAGCCGCGAGGTTCGCAGCCACGATGTAATAAATATTAAATATCGGTCTCCACCGGCTGCTCGTCGCGCATTAATAAATTTTAAATTATATCGACGTGCGCGCGACAAATTTTGCTCACGTATTCATCATTGATACATATTTAGAGAGTCGTTAATAATGGAGAGACCGATAGATAATTGAGAATGATCCTATCATTATCTTAATACTGTTTTTATAATCGTGGTCGTCCCCCTGTTATTTGATTTGAATAATCACAATAACGAAGTTATTACAGTCGTTACAGTACCTTGTGTCTGATGTTACGGTAGAAATAGAGCTCGAAGATTAATAATAAATTTCTCGTGGTATAATACGAGCACCGCTGTATCTGTATTTATTTTTATATGCATAATCATGGGATAATGCAATTTTCCATTAAATTATATATCACGAGATTATTAATAAATAGAAATAGCCAGGTTATTTTCATTTTCATCTCGTAAATTTTCTGAATTTGCAAGATGCTATTTATAGCTAATATTTCTCTCTCTCTCCCATGACTGATATTTATATTCATACCGTTCTGTAGAACATTGTAGGATTAAATTTTTCAAGGCACAGTTTCGAATACGAAAATTGTTCTCTCACCCAGAACCTTGCTCTCGTCTTTATAGAGGTCGCTTTACTAAAATAGTCGCGACAGATAAACGATAAACGAGACTTGACATGAGAAAGACAAAAGGACGTCTACCGCACTTTTCTCCGAAAGCTTCGAGTGCTGGTTTCTCCTCTCCTGGGTCCCCCAAACATCTATTGAGAGCTCCCTGAAAACTTCAGTCTCCGCATCGACCGGAACTAAATTATCCAAAATGTAATTTTCGCCAAAATGTACAGAATATTCTCCTCGGGAAATGATATTAAACTAATGCTTTTGTTGTTCGCAATTGTGCAGCAATTTTTTTCTCGAAATATAACATTGGTAATTTGGTATACACATTGTAGTTTAAGTAAGATACATCGAAAACAATTTTAGTTTCGTCATTGTCTACAATTGTGTACCGAAAATTACTTTAGTAATTTGTCATATATTTTGTTTAATGGAATTCCACGTTAGTTTATATACCATGT